CCTGGACGACCAGCTCGGATAGCGGCCGCGCTCAGGGACCACCCCCTGCGCACCCCCTACGGTGTCGGGAAAGTGCCACGCCTGCGATTCACTAAGCATGTGGACGAGAGCTGTGCTGTGCTGTGCTGAGCTGAGCTGAGCTGTGCTGAGCTATGCTGAGCAGTGTTGTGCTGTGCTGTGCTGTGCTGTGCTGTGCTGTGCTGTGCTGCGCTGCGCTGAGTGAGACGGGAAGAGGGAGGTGAGGTGAGTGAGCGCGGGTGCGACGAGGCATGGAAGAAAACCTGAACCCCACTAAACATGTGGGGAACAATTACTGCAACAACAACAACAACAACAGCAGCAGCAGCAACAACAACAACAACAACAATCACTTTACCCGAACGCTCAGTGTTCTCACCAGTGCCAGGGTTTTCATGCGACGCCAGCCAATACCCCCACTTTGTGGGGGGGCAGTGCAAGCTCTACCAATATCCACACGACTCTTCGCCACCACCCACACCCAGCTTCCCGCCCTATGACGTTCGGACACTTCACTTCGTGGCCTGCGGACGACCGTGGCTACTACACTGGCGTGGAGTACACACCCACAGAAGTTGTTAAGACTACGTTCGTGTTGCGATTCGTATGATTTTATGTTGCGCGGTGCTAAATTCCTAAGAAACCCAATGGTTTTGGAAGATTTCGGCGTGCGCGCGCGAAGAAAAAACGAATGTGTCCCGCATGTATTATTTGACAGGGATGATGGCCCTGGCAGGTGCGCAACCGTTGTCGCAGAAGTTCGAAAAAGTTGCTCGCAAAAGCCCGTTTGACAGAAATGTTTAAAAAGTGTTGGGTTTCCTACGAATCCGCAAGAGCGCGCGGGATGAGATTTTGACATTTTTTTGTTGAAAAACCATTGTTTTTTGATGTTTTTATGTTAAAATCGCTCCGAACACTAAGCTTTTGGAAGGATTTCGTCTTGCGCGCGCGAATGTCCACTTTACTTATTTTTTTGCAAGGGATTCTTGAAATTTGATTATATTAGAACAAGAAATGTCATTTTATAGTGTTTTTTGCAAGGGAAAACGGATTACAACAAAACAACCGGATCTTGATGACATCGTATTACCTGAGGCTTCCTCACGAAAATGATGAAAATGTAGCTGCGGCCGAGGCGGCGCAGGGGGGCCGTGCACCAGGGGCCCCAACAATAATTATTCTTTAGAATTAATAATGTTCAACAACAACAACAACAACAACAACAACAACAACAACAACAGCGCAGCAGCAGCGCAGCAGTCACAATAGCAGAAGCATTAACAACAACAGCAATTACTAGCACGTGGGGACACTCCGTTCTCACCACGTGCCAGGGTTTTCATAGGAGGCGGGCAATACCCCCACTTTGTGGGGGGGCCGGTTCAAGCTCTACCACATTTCCAAACGACTCTTCGCCACCACCCACACCCAGCTTCCCGCCCTATGACGTTCGGACACTTCACTTCGTGGCATGCGGACGACCGTGGCTACTATTCAGGGCCCCGCGGCCGACGACGACGGCGTGCGCGCGCGAAGAAAAAACGAATGTGTCCCGCATGGTATTATTTGACAGGGATGATGGCCCTGGCAGGTGCGCAACCGTTGTTGCAGAAGTTCGAAAAAGTTGCTCGCAAAAGCCCGTTTGACAGAAATGTTTAAAAAGTGTTGGGTTTCCTACGAATCCGCAAGAGCGCGCGGGATGAAATTTTGACATTTTAAAAAAAAAACATTGGTTTTTTGATGTTTTTATGTTAAAATCGCTACGAAAACTAAGGTTTTGGAAGGATTTCGTCTTGCGCGCGCGAATGTCCACTTTACCTTATTTTTTTGCAAGGGATTCTTGAAGTTTGGTTATGTTAGAACAAGAAATGTCCACTTTAGCTTATTTGTTGCAAGGGAAACCGATCGTAACAACACAACCGGATCCGGACCCCCGTTTTGCCTGAGACTTCCTCACGAAAATGATGAAAATGTGGCTGCGGCCTAGGCGCGGCGGGGGGGTCGTGCACCAGGGGCCCCAACAATAATTATTCTTTAGAGTAATAATGTTTTACACAACAACAAACACACCAAACAACAACAACAACAACAACAACAACAACACAACACCAACACCAACACCAACACCACACCAACACCAACACCAACACCAACACCAACACCAACACCAATCAACACAACAACACAACAACACAACAACACAACAACACACACACAACAAAAACAACAACAATTACAACAACAACAAGAATAACAACAACAACAACAACAACAACAACAACAACAAGGAAAAGGCGTGCGTGAGAGCCCCGTGCGCTCTAGCCGTCCGGACCCGCCCTCGCCTTATTGCGAAGGCTGCGCTCAGAGCCCCGTGGACGCATTCTGCCCCCCCCCCAGCAACAGCAACAGCAACCAGCAACCAAAAACAAAACAAAAAACTTGAACTCCCTTGGACTCCCTTACGGACCTTGACGTGGTCCTATGGGTGAAAAACGTATGCGTGCCGGCGTGCCGCCGTTTCAATACAGATCCGATACAGACTGTATGGGATCCTGTAGAGATCCGATACAGACTGTATAGGATCCTATAGAGACCCGATACAGACTGTATGGGATCCTGTGGAGATCCGATACAGACTGTATGGGATCCTGAAGAAATCCGATACAGACTGTATGGGATCCTGTAGAGAACCGATACAGAGTGTATGGGATCCTGTAGAAATCCGAAACAGACTGTATAGGATCCTATACAGATCCGACACAGACTGTATGGGATCCTGTCGAAATCCGATACAGCGTGTATGGTATCCTGTAGAGATCCGATACAGACTGTATGGGATCCTATAGAGATCCGATACTGACTGTATGGGATCCTGTAGAGACCCGATACAGACAGTATAGGATCCTGTAGAGATCCGATACAGACGGTATAGGATCCTCTAGAGATCCAATACAGACGGTATAGGATCCTATAACAACAACAACAACAACAGCATCAACAACAACAACAACAACAACAACAACAACAACAACAACAACAACAACAACAACAATCATAACAGCAACAACAACAACAACAACAAGAACAGCAGCAACAACAACAACAACAACAGCAGCAGCAGCAACAACAATCATTTTAAGACTGTTCGCCCTTATCTGCTCGAGTGACCAATAACGCGTACTTCCCCAACCCTCGATACCCGCCCTCTTCGTCTTCGATCGAACCCCTCTTGGGGGGGCATGCCGGGCCCCGGCGAGTGGCGGGGCGGCCGCGGACCGTCGGCCTGGCCAGCGGCAGCGCTGATCGGCGGGGCGGCCGCGGACCGTCGACCCGACCCCAAGAGGGACGGACAGGGGACGGACCACGACGACGACGACGGCGACGACGAGCGAAAGCGAGAGCGAGAGAGAACGACAGCAGGGCCACGAAGGACACGAAGTAGGCCACGAAGGGCGACAGCAGGGACACGAAGGGAATGCGTATGGGGCCACGAAGAGCGCGAACGAGCGGGGGCCACGAAGGGCAGATAATGCGGGGCCACAGAAGGCAACGACGGGGCCACTGAGGGTAGCAGCTGGGCCACGTAGGACAGTGAGGGGGCCACAAACGGCGACAGCGGGGCCACGAAGGGCATGCACATGGGGCCACAACGGGCGCGATCCTGGGTGCCTGGGTGTCGGGAGCGCGGCGCTTGAGCAAATTGCAAGAAATTCCCACGCAAGGGCGCTGTTCTTCAGTAAATTGCAAGCAAGTCTCCAGCGAGAGCGCGACTCCAGGGCGCCGGGAGAGCGGTTCCTGAATAAATTGTAGAAAGTCCCAAGCGAGAGCGCGATTCCTGAATAAAATGCAAGGAATCTCGGGCGGGAGCGGGGGTCCTGGTTAAATGGTGAAGAAGTCTAAGGCGGGATCCGTTGTTGTTGTAACCCGGGGGGGGGGCCAGGAACGCAGTTTGAGCATCAAGACTTCCCCTGTTCAAAAACAGGGCGCGAGCGTCGAGGGGCACGCTTTGATTGAGAAAAACAGCATGCACCGGTGAGGGGAGATCAACAATAATTCAGAAGTGAGAGTTCAACAACAACAACAACAACAACAACAACAACAACAACAACAACAACAACAACAACAACAATCATTTTACCCGAACGCGTGGTGTTCTCCCCAGTGCCAGGGTTTTCATACGACACCAGGCAATACCCCCACTTCGTGGGGGGGCATTACAAGCTCTACCAAATATCCAAACGACTCTTCGCGACCACCCAAACCCAGCTTCCCGCCCTATGACGTTGGGACACTTCACTTCGTGGCGTGCGGACGACCGTGGCTACTACACTGGCGGGCAGGGTTTTTGGAGATTTCGGCGTGCGCGCGCGAAGAAAAAACGAATGTGTCCCGCATGGTATTATTTGACAGGGATGATGGCCCTGGCAGGTGCGCAACCGTTGTCGCAGAAGTTCGAAAAAGTTGCTCGCAAAAGCCCGTTTGACAGAAATGTTTAAAAAGTGTTGGGTTTCCTACGAATCCGCAAGAGCGCGCGGGATGAGATTTTGACATTTTTTTGTTGAAAAACCATTGGTTTTTTGATGTTTTTATGTTAAAATCGCTGCGAACACTAAGGTTTTGGAAGGATTTCGTCTTGCGCGCGCGAATGTCCACTTTACCTTATTTTTTGCAAGGGATTCTTGAAATTTGATTATATTAGAACAAGAAATGTCATTTTATAGTGTTTTTTGCAAGGGAAAGCGGATTACAACAAAACAACCGGATCTTGATCACATCGAATTACCTGAGGCTTCCTCACGAAAATGATGAAAATGTAGCTGCGGCCTAGGCGGCGCAGGGGGGGCGTGCACCAGGGGTCCCAACAATAATTATTCTTTAGAATTAATAATGTTCAACAACAACAACAACAACAACAACAACAACAACAACAACAACAACAACAACAACGACGACGACGACGACGACGACGACGACGACGACGACGACGACGACAACAACAACGGCAACAACAACAACAACAACAACAGTTCAACAACCCTCGTGACTTCTTTATGACACGAGGTGGTCGGGCCCCCCCCAGTTCGGAAGCAACTGCTGGGAGGTCTTCGTCGAAGGACCATGAGGAGGACGAAGCCCCTTTGGGGGGTCTGCTGCGCCGGATTGGGCCGCGGACAAAGCGGGACTAAGCCGGATGAAGCGGGAGTAAGCTGGATGAAGATAAGAGGAAAAGACAACATAAAGACAAACTTTTGGCGCTCCGCGCGGAGTTCTTGGATCCGCGCTGGAATCCCCTGCCTGGCGCGCGGAGCGCGAGGCGCCGCCAGGGGGGGGGGCGAGCGCGGAACCAAGAAATCCGCGCGGAGCGCGAACAAATCATGCTCATAGCGAATTTCCGTCTTCGAATGAAGCGGGGTTCAACCAGATACAGCGGAATTCAGCCGAAGGATGCTGGACTTCGGGCCAAGGCAAACTCAGAACTCGACCTCCCGGGAGGTGCAGGTCCAAAACCTCCAGACAGGGCCACAGGGCGGTCGCCACCTCCTCGTCGAGGGAGCGCCGCTCCCTCCAGGAAGTGGAGTACCCAGCACACTCCAGAGGCCCCCAAAGCGACGCCCAACGTCCAAAACCTCCTCGAGCTTCGATCCAGGGGCCCCCATAGCGACCCCCAACGTCCAGAACCTCCTCGAGCTTCGATCCAGGAGCCTCGATCCTCGGGAGAAACTGGTGTTGGAAGCGGCCAAGGGGTCTGAACTGGATAGGGACCCGGAAAATCGATCATCAAGAGGGGGGGACCGCGGCCAAATCCATTCAGCAAAGGGTTCCCAGACCCCTCCTGGGTCCACCTGATGCATCTTTACGGCCCTGGGGCCCTAAAACAGCCCCCGGAGACCGATTGAGGCAAGCAACCTTCTCGAGACAAGAACGTCGAACTTTTCAGCTCCCCTCCTGCTGGCCAGAACCAGTCCTGGGCCACCTTAGACCCCCAGCCAGCTCCACAACTGGCAACCCCTCGAGAGTGCGGGCGCGGCCGCAAGAAACCTTCGCAAGAAGCCCAGCCCTGAAAACCCACGCGCGAGATGCACACGGGGGAAAGCCCCGAGCACCCCGAGTGCAGCAGCTTCTGAACGGCCGCAGGAGGTGCAGCACGCGGATGAGACCCAGGGTACCCTGGCGAAAAGCAACCTGGCTTCTGAATTAGAAGAAGTAAGAGAGAAAAAAAAAACATCAAAAACATACACTTTTGGCGCTCCGCGCAGATTTCTCCCATCTGCGGTGGACTCCCCTCTCTGGCGCGCGAGGCGCGCCAGGGGCGGCGCCAGAGGCGCCGCCGGGGGGGGGGCCGAGCGCGGATTCAAGAAATCCGCGCGGAGCGCCAAAAGTTTATATGTATGGCGTGTTTATTTCTTCGGTTCTCAAAGCCCTCGCGCCTTCTGAAAAGTGTTCTGCTTCTTCGGGAAAACCTCCGAAAACTTCTCAGGAGCCCTTTCCTCCGCTTCCTCCTCCTTCTGCTCCTCCTCCTCCTCCTCCTCCTCAGCCTCCTCCTCCTCCTCCTCCTCCTCCTCCTCCTCCTCCTCCTCCTCCGCCTCCTCAGCATCATCATCATCATCATCATCATCATCATCATCATCATCATCATCATCATCATCATCATCAGCAGCAGCAGCATCATCAGCATCGTCATGATATGGTGGTGACCCCTCTCGGCATTGCCCGACCCCTGCGAGAAGGGGCCACAATACCACGTGGCACCCTGCTGGATCCGCGGCCGGCGCCTGCGAGATCCCCGGCGGCAGGCCCATGCCGGGCGGCACCTGGCAGCGGGGGTCGGGGCCGGGGCAGCGGGGGTTCGGGCGTCGACCAACCAGGCTCAGCGCTCACCGGGCGCAGCCGATTTTGGAAAATGGTGGGCTCGTTTCCACCGCCAAAACCATAAGTAGGAGGGGGGGAGGGGGTCCTCCTCCTCCTCCTCCTCCTCCTCCTCCTCCTCTTCGCCCTCCTCCATCTCCTCCTCCTCCACCTCCTGCCCCCCTCCGACTTATGAAAGTGGTGAAGGAAAACAGGCCCATCAGAAAAAGTTGTGCTGACATATCGTTGGGACCTTCCCAAACTCAGCTCAGCAAACATGCAAGGCCCCCTTCAGGGCTGCGAGCGGCTTCCAGGCAACTCGGCCAAACTCTGGCTCTTTGCAGACCCATGCTAGGACCTGACGCTGTGGCTGAACTCCGTCTGCGCTGAACCCCACTACCTGCCGGCTGAGGGGGGATGCGGCCCTTTCCAAGGGGACCCCTTGGATGACAAGTTTTTGCGTTGTTTCTTTAATTTCCTCACTACCCCACAAAAAATTCAAAAAAAAATGAAGGCGGGAACCCTTTGACCACGATGCCTCTGTGGACCACTCCTCCTCCTCCTCCTCCTCCTCCTCCTCCTCCTCTCCTCCTCCTCCTTCTCTCCTCTCCCTTCTCCTGCTCCCCTCCTCCTCCTCCTGCTCATCCTCCTCCACCTCCTCCACCTCCTCCTCCTCAGATCCCTTGTCATCCTTTTCGATCCATCCTTCGGTGAGGGAGATCACAAGACCACCGACAATCCACAGAAAAGGATCACGATCCGATCGATGGGACGCACAGGGACACACTAGAACCACGCGCGCGCTTCGCGCGCGCTTAGGTTCTGTCGAGTCACAGACCCAGGAATCCTCCTCCTCCTCCTCCTCCTCCTCCTCCTCCTCCTCCTCCTCGTCTTCCTCCTCATCCTCATCCTTTCCCGAACGATACAATAACAACTTGCGTGGAACCCCTCTCGGGCCGATCTTGGGGCTCTCTTGGGCCGCCTTTGGAGCCTCTTGGGGCGTCCTGGGTCTCTCGTGGGGGCTTCTTGGAGCTCTCTTGGCGCCTCCTGGAGCCTCTTGGGGCCGAAAGCTCGGAATTCTACAGTGGCTTTCTCCCTCTGGGACCCCTCTCGGGCACGCCTTGGGGCTCTCTTAGGCCATTTTGGAGTCCAATTTTGCCGTCCTGGGCGCCTCGTGAACCGTCTTGGAACTCTCTTGGGGGCCACCTAGGCCGTCTTGGGAGCCTCTTCGGACGTGTTGGACGCGGTGAAAACCCAACAGGCGACCATGCGAAAAGTATACGTTTTCCCATAGGAATGGGACCATTTTTGCTTCTTGGACCTCTCTTGGGGTGCCTCTCGGAACGTCTTGGGCTGATTTTGGAAGCCTTTTGGCGCCTCTGGGCGGCGTTTTGGCGCCTCCTGGGATGTGTTGGGCCGGAAGCTCGGAATTCGAGAGTGGCTTTCTCCTTCTGGGACCCCTCTCGAAGTCGTCTTGGGGTTCTCTTGGGCCGTCTTGGGGCCGTCCTGAGCCACTCGTGCGCAGCCTTGGAGCGCTCCCGGAGGCCTCCTAGGCCGTCTTGGAGGCCTCTTGGGCCGTCTTGGACGCGGTGAAAGCCCAAGATGCGAACATGCGAAAAATATACGTTTTCCCATAGGAATGGCACGATTTTTGTTTCTTGGACCTCTCTTGGGGTGCCTCTCGGAACGTCTTGGGGTGCTTTTGGGAGCCTTTTGGCGCCTCTTGGCGGCATTTTGGCGCCTCCTGGAGCCTCTTGGGCCGGAAGCTCGGAATTCGAGGTTGGCTTTCTCCGTCTGGGACCCCTCTCGAACTCGTCTTGGGGCTCTCTTCGGCCGTCTTGGGGCCGTCCTGGGCCACTCGTGCGCAGCCTTGGAGCGCTCCCGGAGGCCTCGTAGACCGTCTTGGGCGCCTCTTGGGCCGTCTTGGACGCGGTGAAAGCCCAAGAGGCGAACATGCGAAAAATATACGTTTCCCCATAGGAATGGCACGATTTTTGCTTCTTGGGCCTCTCTTGGGCTGCCTCTCGGAGCGTCTTGGAGGCTTCTGGGACCTTCTTGGTGTCATGACAGGCGTCTTGGAAGGCATCTGGAGCCATCGGAGCGCGTTCCGAAGCCGCCTGCGAACGATCTTGGACGGCGTCCGGCGGTCCGACGAGCCTCCGGGCCCCCCGGGGCCCACATTTGTGGTCGAGGTCCCGGCCCCGGGCCCCCGGACCCGTGTGCCGTTATATGTATATATATATATATATATATATATATATATATATATATATATATGTATATGTAGTGCTCCTTGGAGGCGCGAGTCCGACCCAGACACGCAGTACACCCATCTTGTAGCAGACCGTTTCCCGAACGGTGTGGCCAGGAAGCACCCGCCACGACGTATATACTATAAGATGTCTCGGTGCGCGCGTCGCCCCTTGCGGGGGGGAGGGGCGACGCACACATAGAATTAGTGTGCTGGGGTGACGCCGAATCCAGCCTCGATGGGGGTGAGCAAAAGCCGGCAAGAGCCACGGGACGTCGTGCCAGATCTGGGGCTTCCGAATTTGAAGGGGCCCTGGGACACAAAAATAAATAATCACAAATAACGGGATTCCCCGTATTTCCGCAGATGTTCTGGGTTTCTGTCTTCCCCCCCACTTCCCATATTTTCTCATATAGTCCTGGGGAATCGACGATTAATTGTGTCTGTTTTTTTCCTCCTGAGAATTCTCGGCAGAACCATGAGGGGCACCAACAAGCGTAGGGGCACCAAATCCGGGTGGGGTGGGGCGGCCTAGCTACACGTGCTCATCAACCAAAACTGACGCCCACGCATAAAGGGGCCCTGGGACACACACAAAAAATGCACACAAATAACAGGATCCCCCATATTTCCCATATTTTCTGGGCGTTCGTCTCCCCCCACTTCCCATATGTTCCCATATGTTCAGGGGAATCGACGATTAATTGTCGAAAACCACATCGCCCCATTGTCGAAAACTTACCAGCCTGAAACAGATCCCTATCCCTATGCTGAGCATCGCCTCACCACGATGCCGATCTCAGGGATACCCTCAGCTTCTGAGGGCGTATCCCTGCGATTGTCACCGACTTTGGGCGTGTCAATCCTCAATCTTGGGGATGGGGATACACTCGAAGCTGGTGAGGAACGGAGGACCGAAGGACGAGGATCGACGAACAGGGCCCCCAGGCCCTCCTGCCGGAAACCCCACGGGGCCCACTGCTGGCCGCCGCGAAGCGGGGGGGAGGGCCCCCCTCGGCGGCGCGCAGTGCATGCGGGGGAGGGCGGGGGCGAGCGGGGGGCGGCCTTCTACGTTTAGGTCGGACATGTTCTCCTACAGGCGGGTTTTGCCAGGAAATAAAAAATCGCGATTTAAAAAAAGGTCGAACCTGAACGAGTTGTTAAGATGTTAGTTGTTCTGGAAAGAAAACGTCTTCGGACTACTGCTTACTAGTAAAAGATGCTCCTCTTGTAGAGGGTGGGCAGGGGGCCTGTTGGAAGCCCACGAATAAAACGAGAACCTTGCCATCGATGTTGGTTTACTGTTTTTCGGCAAGGTGGTCCAGGATGCTCCTCGGTGGTCTACACGCGTTCGCCAGGGGACAGGACGAAGACACATTCGGGTGAGGGCACCTAGGGAATCTCTGAGGTCCGGCGGCTCTGGAAGATGTCTCGGGGGACAGACGACGACTCCCGGAAACGCCACGCGCGAACCCCGGAGCGCTGCGAGACCCTGCCCAAGCAGCCACGTGCCTTTCGAAGACCACCCCCGCACCACTCTCCCTGCGCCGCGCCGCCAGCACCCGCAGTACACCCCAACCCCAACCTACCCGCCTCAGAAAGCGAGCGCGGGGGCGGCTGGCACGAAGGCGGGGGGCCCTGGCGACAACGTGCCCCGGACCTTCCCGGGCCTTCCCCAAGGCCAACGCTGCGGCCAGCGCCGCCTTCCGACCTCCCCAGGGCCCGGGGAGGGCCCCGGGACGGCGGGAAGTGCCGGAACCTGCAGGACCGGGTTCCCGGAAAGGCCACGTGAGACATCGGCGAAACTCCGAACGACGGGACAGAGGAGAAGAAGGAGAAGGACGAGGAGGAAGAGGATGGATGGATGGATGGATGGATGGATGGATGGATGGATGGATGGATGGATGGATGGATGGATGGATAGATGGATGGATGGATGGATGGATGGATGGATGGATGGATGGATGGATGGATGGATGGATGAAGCATCATCAAAGAGGCCGCGGCGACCGTCTGCATGCAGGCGACCGCCAGGGCCCCAGATGTCACGGGCCCCGCGCCGCCTCGAGCACGCCGCACGGGCGCCGTGGCGACTAGGGAAGGGCCCCGAAGCAGCCCAGACAGGCCTCCGTCCGACCCTAGCCTGCTCCGCGGGCAGGCCAGGGGGGCAGAAACCACCCCCGCGGGGACACAGGCGGGCAACCCCAGCAGCCGCCGGCGACCGCCCCCACACCCCGAGAGGGGGAACGGGAACGCACGGGGCGAGCCCGACCCAGGCGGCGGCCCCCAAAACCCACGCCGAAAGGCGCCGCGCCAGCACGTCGAGGAGGACCCGGCAGGACAGAGCGCGGGCCCGACCCGACTCCGCCGGCCGCACGGGCGGCGCCCAGGCGGGAGAGGAACTCGCCCTCCACGTGGAAGACCTCGGAGAAACGGGGCGAGGCCATGGAGCTGCCCACGAGCTCGATGTCGACGCGCTCGCGCCTGCGGACCACACCGCCCGTGTGCGCGCCGCCCTCGCCTCCCGAGGCCGCGACCATCTCGGCCAGGAAGTCCTCGACGTCGAACTCCGACGCAGCGTCGGCCCCGACAGCTGGCTCCCCGCCTCGCACGACGCTCATCTCGCTCGCGCCCAGGGGCTCCGCGACGCCCCCCACCATGGGAGCCCCGGGCGCCTCCGATCCCCCGGGCCCTCGGGAGCCCTCGCCGTCGACCTCCGCCGCTGACTTGGCCGAGCAGATACGCCCCACGTCAGCCTCGACGGCCTCGACCACCTCCGACTCCCCGCCCAGGACCGCGACGCACTCCGTCGGCGGCTCCGCCGCCACCTCGACGCCGAGATCCTCCGCGCAGGTGGCCTCGGACGCCCCGCGCTCGCCGACGAGGACTCGCAGGCACGGCTGCAGCTCCACGCCGAGCGCCTCGAGCAGCAGACCAGGCTGCTGTGGGTCCTGCCAGAGGCCCGGCGCCCACCCCACGCCCGCAGGCCCTCCCTGGCGCCCCGCCAAGCTCCGGCCCGCAGCCAAGCCTTGCCCGAAAGCCTGGGCCCGGCTCTCCGCGACGGGGCCGCACCCTTTCCGCGCAGGCGCGGGGAGCCCACCGGAGCGGCACCCAGGCGCGGCCCGCGCTGGGTCGCGCGGAGCGCCCGTGCGCCGGCGCCCTCCAGCTGTGCCCTGGGCGCGGCTGCATGGAGGGCGGCATTGCGCCGCAGCCTCTGGAGCCACGTGGGCGCGCGGCCCTCCACCAGCGCGGCGAGGGCTGGGAAAAGGCAACGGACGTGGGCGGCCACCTCGCCGTCACCGACGATGACCTGGAAGGCCTCCTCCGCGTCCTTCCGCTAGCGTTGGGCGGCCGCCAGCTGCGACTGCAGCCGCGCGACGAGGCGGTACGCAGACACCCAGGCACCAGCAGCGCCGCGCAGCACCGCCGCCGAGCCCGATCCCGCAGCCATCACTCCGTGAGCCAAGAGCCTTGACCCCCCAAGGCCATCACGCCCGCCGGGGTGGGGGAACGCCGAGGGACAAGGTCCAGGAACAGGGAGCTTACGGGATTGGCCTGAGCCAAAATGGCTATGGAGGAGGAGGAGGAGGAGGAGGAGGAGGAGGAGGAGGAGGAGGAGGAGGAGGTCCGCTCAACGTCAACGAGGAGGAGCTCGGGGTGGTGGAGGGAAGGAGGGAGGAAGGAGGGAGAAGGAAGGAGGAGGAGGGAAGAGTGAAAGGGTGCCAGGGAGAGCGGGAGTGAGCATAGCAGCGTGCCTGCGCCCGCCGCCGCCTGTGCCCGCCGCAGCCTTTGGCTTAGAGAAGGCGGCGCGCCCGCCGCCGAACTGTCGACAGAGATTGAGGCGAGACCAGTCAAAGTCCAGCACACCTCAGCAGGGCAATGGTGACGATCATTCCTCGTGTGCGTGCTGCCCGGCCGTTCGGCCACAAGGAGGAGGAGAGCTCCAGAGGTCTTTCGACTCTGGTAGCGGAGCCGGTGGGCTCTGCAGGGTCGGCTGCAAGTCCGGCCGGCTCTGCGTGCGACGTGGGCGGCGACAGGCCGCAGCGTGGCGACCACGGCAATGGGGTGGAGTCGAGCTCAAGGCGTTGCACCTGCTGTGCGACTACCGCTCCATGTGCGGCCTGCCCCTTGCAGGCCATGACATCATCAACTACTGGATGCTCTTTCTCTTCGACGAGTTCGACGCCGAGCAAGATCGTGGTGCTCATCGGTCTCCTCGGCATCCTGATCAACGTAGCGAGCGCGACGGAGCCCCTGGGCTTCAGGCCCATGACGCCGCAGCGCGGCCAGCGCATCGGCGAGTCACGGCTGCCGGCGCCACAGTGGGGCCAACCCCACGAGCAGAACGTGCAGGGCCTGCCGGCGGCGGAGCTGGCCCAGCAGAGCACGTCGAAGGTCCCGCCGTTCTGGGCCCCGTACCTTGAGCAGCGCGGGTACCCCTTCAGGCTGTGGGTTCAAGATGTGATGTTGTGGTGTGCGGCGACGGAGCTGCAGCAGCACCAGCGCGGCCCGGCGATCGTCCAGCGGCTCGGCGGCACGGCGAGGGACCTCTGCCGCGAAGTGCCTGTCGAGGCCATTGCGCACGGCAGGTACGACCAGCTGGGCAACCTGGTCGAGGACGGAGTGCAGATGCTGATCACAGGACTCAAGCGGCGCTTCGGCCCGCTCGATGTCCAGTCCTCGATCAGCACCATCGTCGAGCTGCTGACATTCCGCAGACTGGAGAGGGAGAGCGTCGACGATGCGATCACGCGCTTCGAGGCTCTGCGCGCCCGAGTGGCGCAACTTGACGAACCGCTCGTGCTGCCGACGCCGGTGCTCTCGCTGCTGTTCTTGGAGGCCCTGCATGTGCCCAAGGCCGTGTACCCCCTGGTGCTGCAGTCCAACGGCGGCCAGCTGCCAATGACGATCGACCAGCTGAACAGCGTGATCGGGATGGTGCGGCAGCAGGGCCACTTTGCGGAGCACACTCATGCAGGACCTCAGAACTTGTCTGAAGGATACCGCGGCAAAGGATATCACGGTCATCATTGGTTCACGGGCGAGAATGACAGCGGCGCCAACACCTGGAACGACACGGCCGCATACATGTATGGTCAGAGCGCATCCAGCGCGGCAGGGAGCGCTGGATCCGCACCACAGCACTACGTGGTCCAGGACGACGAGGGCTACGATTGTTGCGCCGTCTGCTCGAGCTATTTGTACGAAGACGAGCCCGGGGACGATGACTCGATGACCGACGACGATGACTTGGACACTTCCCAGTTCACTCAGGAGGAACTACAGGAGTATTACGGCGACTCCGAGGGCTGGGACTACGACACCCTGTTACACGAGTACATGTTCGCGAAGCGCAGGTTTCGCCACTTTGTTCAACGGAACAGCCGCCGCTCTCGTTTCCCGCGCAGCAACTGGTCTCTTCGTATGAACAGCGGCAAGGGTGGCAGCAGCTTCGGACGTGGTCGAGGCCCCGGCAAGGGATACCACTTTGGAGGATCGGTGGTGAACCCAGGCTCGCTGGCAGGAGGAAAAGGTAAGAAGAAGAAGGGCGGCAAGCACTACATGGCAGGCACGCCCGGCGCCACCAATCCTCGAGGCAGTGACGGCCGCACCATGCGGTGCCACGAGTGCGACTCGGAGACTCACCTCGTGGCCGCCTGCCCCAAGCGCAAGGGCAAGGGCAAGGGCAAGCATTTCATGTCCTGGAACTCTGGCAGCGCCTCGACGGGGACGCAGCAGGTTGGGGCTCCTGCCGCCGACCCAACACTGTCCGCCTATGCGCCTGTGCCCGCGCAGCCGCGGACTGGAGCCCTGTCTGGAGTGCTGCACTGGTTTGCCGAGGACGCCCGTACGCCCGGCCTGCGGATCGACGACCTTGACGAGGACACCTGCCGCGAGGCTCTGAGCTGGGAGACCCTGGACATGCGCGACAACGTCGCAGAGCACGACATACTGACGGAGATCCAGGCCAGCATGCAGGACCGAGCTGCGGAGGATCAGCCTCCGACGACAGCTGGGCGATCAGCGGCCTCGACCAGCCCGACATGGTTCCCATGGTGGCGAGTCGATCAGTTCGAGAACGCCAGCGGGGAGACCTACTTGGTTCGCACCCGCATGAAGGACAGGAGCGGCGAGGCTCTACTGGTGGACCCCGGGAGCCCAGGCAACCTTACTGGCGATGAGTGGGGTAACAGGATGGCAGCGCGACAGCAGCAGGCAGGACGTCCACCGCCTGTCCGCACCCCACTCGACCGTGTGCTTGAGGTTGGAGGTGTGGGCTCAGGATCTCAGCAGGCCACGCACGCATATCGCTATCAACTGGCGCTGCAGGGAGGACAAGCCGCGACCTACGAGGCGCCGGTGCTCCCGAACAGCAGCGTTCCGGCACTGCTCGGGCGAGCATCGCTGCGGGACCAGCGCATGCTGCTCGACTGCTTCAACAATCGCATGTACCGCATCGGCCCGGGCGGCTACTCCCTGCGGCTGAGCCCAGGATCATCGCAGTATCATCTGGAAGAGAGCCACGCCTGCCACCTCATGCTGCCCTGCGACCTCTACGACGAGACGGGAACATCGGGGAGTTCGGGACCCACGAGGACGATGGCATTGGCGACCTCGACGACCTCAGACTCGACATCCTTGCCTGCAGCAACCGCCCCGACTCCCGCATCCACCAGGACGGCAAGCAAGAAGACCACTACGGCGACGTCATCCGGCAGCGGTGCCACATCGGACAGCGCCAGCGGGCAGCCCGACGCGGGCAGCCTGCACCTCTGATCGAAGACACCCCATCTCGGTGCTCGGGACGGCGGGGGCACCAGGGAAGTACAGGGGAGACCGCCATTGGCATGGGTGTTCGGCGACTTGCAGAACCTGTGCCAGAATGCGCTGCACGGATGCGGATATGCGGTGGGTCGCAACTGTGATGTTCACAGATTCCTCGGGCAGGAGGATAAGTGGGCGGATTCCTTGCGCCACCAGCAGCCGGAGCTCGTTTGGATCAGCCTGGCTCAGCCGGGCACGTCGCGAGGCACTCGCAACGACAAGCGAGCCAAGCGTTTCGAGTGTAAGATTGCTCGAGCTCAACTTGAAGGGCATCGCTGCTGCATCGTCGAGGCGGACGAGGGCAGCGCAGTGTGGGACATGCCCGACATCTTGGAGCTGCTGGACGACAGGAGGTGGCACTCAGGACGATTACGATGGTGCAATCTCGGGGTTCGTGACGCTCGAGGATCACCAGCAGCTCAGACTACACGCGTAGTCAGCAGCAGCTACTTCGACGACCACGACGCGAAGTGCCGCTGCGGCTGGCCAGCAGGCCGACATGTTACACGAAAGACTGCTGCAGATCGGTTGGACTTCAAGGCCAGAGGGGTATCTGCTCTGGTCAAGCGGATGGTGGCCGCTGGTTGCTTCGACGGCGGCGCGAGATCCGACGCAGCCGACGGATTGTCGTCATCTGCGACAGCCACACCACGCCGTGAGGCCAGGGGTGATTCCCGACCCGGGTCGTCAAGGATGGATCCGACGACTACCGGGCCTCCAGGATCTCGGACAGAGGCCTTGAGAGAGGCCGACGAGGAGCAGTCACGAGCTGAGCGACGTCGACCTGGCCGAGTTTCATTCGCGGACGACGTCGACGAGACAGGCTGCAAGGTGAGTGCGCTGACCGCGAGCTTTCCCACCGAGCAGAGGACGCGCGACAAGGCGCGCAAGGCAGCAGACCCGGAGCGCAAGGTGAAGAAGAGGCCACAGACAGTGGAGCAGGTCTTCGACGACTGCGGCTCCGATTTCACGAAACTCTACGTGGTGAACGAATACGAGCTGGACGAGGTGTGCTACGGCACCGAGCTCAGGGAGGACCAGCACATCGATGAGCAACCGTACATCATGATGTCCGAGTTCTTTGGTATGATTGGCTCGGAGGCGCACCTGAACGAGAAAGACGAGCAGCAGAACTTCTTCAGATCAGTCAAGGATATGGACACGCACATGAACATCTACTACGGCCACCTGCAGTACGACGACGTCGCGGAGTTGTGCGGTGGCGCATCTGGAACAACCCGGCTACTCGTGCGACGAGGATATCGGGGCGGTCCCAACTTCGACCTCGTTTGCGACTGCAACTTGATGACTCACGAGGGCCAGAGGCAGTTTTGGGAATATCTGTATCACGGCAGGCCCCTTGTCTTACTCATTAGCACGCCCTGCACGAGCTTGAAGGGGTTCTCGGCGCTCAACAAGGTCATCAACTACGACGGTTGGCTTCGCAGTCGCAAGACATCAGTGGGGCTGGCTCGCATCGCCGCTGCAGCGGCGTGTACTCAGATGGACGCTGGACGCCACTTTGTGTCGGAACAGCCGTTGGGCAGCGACTTCTACAAGCTCGACGACTGGCAACACATCGCCAACAACTACGCGGTGGTGTGGTGCCAAGTCGACCAGTGCATGGCCGGCAAGATCGGGTGGCGAACGGGACTACCTATCAAGAAGTCCTCGGAGTTCTGGGCTTCGGACGAGCGCCTGCTCGCCGGACTCAGGAGGTTTCGCTGCGACGGCCAGCACGATCACGCCTTGCTGGCCCATGGTGGCCGAGGACACCATCCAGAGCGTGACAAATGGCGACTAGAGAACCCCAAGGATCATGCGGAGTGGGCGATTGGCATCTGCCGGGAGCTGGCAGCGAGCATCTCCCAGATGGTGGAGCGCGTGAGGCATCAGGGACACCACCTCGTGGTGTACGAGTGCTACCCCACGGCCGATGTCACGGAGTCTGCGGCCGCATCCTCTGGAGCAGCAGCAGCCGCAGCATCATCCTCTGGAGCAGCAGCAGCCGCAGTACCAGCTTCAGGAGCAGCAGCAGCGGCATCATCAGCAGCAGCGTCCACAGCAGGAGTACCGCGCGCTGCGCAGCCGTGCCCCGGATGTCGGCATCATCGGCCGGCTGACCACCCAGCCCATGATCGAGGGGAGACATGCAAGCATAGATTTGTGCCGACGAATCGCGACCTGAAGTGCCCGGCCTGCCGGAGTGGTCGCGCGGCCTCAGACACACGACATACCCGAATACCTGGAGAATGCCGAGCAGACAGTGTTCTCCCAAGAGCAGTTGGACCTCGAGACTTACGACCGAGACAACCACCAGCCTCTGAGGAGCCGACTGCGAACCAGGCACCGAGCGCCGCGCGAGCCGACGCGCCAGATGCCGAACCTGAACCGCCACTGCCTCCACCTGCGCCTGCGGAGCGTCGACCTCGAGTGGCTCGAGCGACAGCGGCGGCACGGCGACTTCGATCGCGTCTGCCAGCAGCTGGAGAGGCGGAGCCGGACGAGCCATCAGGCGGCGCCTCGGGATCGGCAGACGCTATTGGTGAGGCACCCGCCGCGGAGCAACCGGCTGCGGCCCCAGCCGCGCCAGCCCGAGGCGTGGATGCGGGGACGCAGGCCCGAGGAAGTGACGAGCCAGGCTGGACTGCATTCGACCTCGGGCACGCGCTTCGACTACTGCACAGCCCACACCAGGAAGTCGTTCGGCGACAGCTACGACGACTTCATGTTCGATTTTGGCACGCTCCTGCAGCTCGCCTCAGAGAGCTGCTGACCAAGGCCGGCGCTCCTGCATCTACGCTGGCCCTGGTGAAGGAGATCTGCGACACGTGTCGGGTGTGTAGGCTATGGACGAGACCGGGACCGAAGAGCATGACGATATCTCGGCTCGCGACGGGTTTCAACGAGATGGTGCAGTGGGACATCCTCTACATCGGCGAACAGATGGTGGCACACATGATCGATGAGGCGACCCGCTGGACGGTGCTACATATCCTGGAACGCAAGACAGCGATCATGATCATCGCCGGCATCACTCAGGGATGGCTACGTCCTCACGGCCCTATGAAGCTGCTGGTTGCCGACATCGAGGGCGGCCTCCATGGCGAGGAGGCGTACCAGTGGCTGGACCGCTGGGGCATTGAGATGAAGGCCAAGGAGGAGGGCTCGCACGCGCAGCTGGTGGAGCGCCATCACGACCTAGTGCGCAAGATCATACACCGCGTGCAGGCCCAGCTTGCGGAAGAAGGCATTGTGATGCCGTTGGAGATCGTGATCATGGAGTGTGCCCTCATCAAGAACCTCCTCATCACCGTGGCTGGCTACAGCCCGTACCAGGCGGTGTACGGCCGACTTCCGCCCCTGCTCGCCGAGTTCGAGCCGGTGAGCGACTGCCAGATCGACGACCAATCGGCTGGCATTCCAGGGATCTCCCGACACCATCATCGGCTCCGCGAAGTCGCAATGCAAGCCATGGTGGAGATGACCGCGAAGGACAGGCTGAGGCGCGCACTTCGATCCAAGACACGTGCCCCGCACGAGGCGCTGCAGCTGGCGGTCGGCGACCAGGTTGACTTCCACCGGCCGCCGAGCACGAAGGAAGAGTCGGGGTGGCGCGGCCCAGCTACCTTGCTGCAGGTCGGGCCTCCAGTGCTCATTCGATGGCAGGGCCGAGTATTTCAAGTGCGACCTCAGGACCTTCGGCGAAGCCTCGTCTACTTCGTGATGTTCACGAACAACATCTTCTTTGAGGCAGGATCGCGTGACCCGGTGGCCACCATCATGAGCTACGCGGACCAGCTGGACAGCAAGGTCGTGCGCGTCGGGTGGCTCTTCGACGCCGGGTGGAAGCGGACCGCGGACAGCCAGAAGCTCAGCGAGCTGGTCCTGGCGGTGCTGCACGTTGCCGCCAGTGGCTTCTACCTGGTGGGGTGCATCGGCGCGCGAGTGGGCAACGGCGTGTCTGTGCTCGAGGGCATGGTCGGATGCGACCACAGCTTCCTGTGGTGGTGGCGGCGCGGACGCCCAGAGCTGTCCTGGTACCACGAGGCGTCTGGATCTGCTCGACTGAAGTTGGCCCCGATATTTGGCAAGGATCACTGGCGGGACGTCAGCTTCGTGCAGTTCATCATGACGGACGACGAGTCCGTTCGCGAACTTCGGCGACGTGAACCCGAGGTTCCGCATCTTGGGGGTCCGTGGTTCGGCAACCTTCCACACGCACGACGGTATGAACAGCCAGAGCGACCTGAACCCGGACCGTTTCAGGAACCGCCCGAGTTGCAGGAGGAAGACTTCGACATGACCTGGCAGGACAAGCCGATATCCGACACGAGCATTCCAAGCGCATCCAGACAGACAAGTGCATCAATGCCAGTGCCCGACACGAGCATATCGAGCGCATCCAGGCAGACGAGTGCAACATCGGATGCAACGAGGAGTCGGAGCAACCGAGGGCACCATCGGCCCCGAGGGCCCTCTCCTGCCTCGGCTGCTGCCGACAACATTGTGCCGTCCGTGAAGCCGCCTGTGAAGCTAGGCGGAGGAGCTCGAGAGAGATCGCGATCACGTGATGGCCCGGATCGTGATCATGGAGTCCGAGGTGCAGGCGAGCCAGCCGCGGCAGTTGAGGCCCCTGCACCCCGGCACGAGCCAGTGCTCCCGATCAAGGATGATGGCGGCAAGGACGACGACGGCGACTCGGACAGCGACGCGACCCAGGAGTACCTGTTCGCGAGCTGGCAGCACCTGAAGGAGCAGGCCGCTCTTCCTGCTGTTGACGTCGAGTGCGCTCAGAGAGACTTCTTCTTCGCAGCCCCGGACGCAGATCATGTGGCAGAAGCAGCAGAGGATGATTCTTCGAATTCCCGACCCGACTGCGTCGAGATCGGCATAGGTGCGCCACTCATGTATTGGGTGCACCCTGAGGTAGAGCACCTGCGACGACCTGGGTCAGAGGAGATTTACCTCCTGCGCGTCTACAACACGGGCAAGCGCGAGATTGTCGTCGAGCGCGAGATGAACGTGCTCACGCTGGAGGAGGCCCGAGCTCACGAAGTTGAAGTACGGCAGGCCATGAAGGACGAGCTCCAGCGCTGGGCGGAGTTGAAGGCATTTCAGCGTTTCCCGAAGGATCAGGCGACCAACATCATCGACTCCCGCTGGGTGCTCAAGTGGAAGGAGATTGACGGCAAGAAGCAAGTGCGCGCGAGGCTCACGGTGAGAGGTTTCAAGGACATGCAGTCACCGGAGCTGTCCACCTTTGCGGGTACTACGACACGATGGGGACAACGACTGGTGAATCAGGTGACTGCACAGCGCAAGTGGCGATTGTTCTCAGCGGACATCAGCCAGGCGTTCTTGCGCGGGCTCACCTTCGAGCAGGTCGCCGCCATGGACGGCGAGGTCAAGCGGAAGGTACAGTTCACGATGCCGCCAGGATCGATTCCAGTCCTCCGGCAGCTGGAGGGCTATGAGGACTACAACCCTGTGACAGAGGTGTTGTTGCTCCTGCGCTGCGGCTTCGGTCTGAAGGACGCGCCGAGGCTGTGGCAGGTCATGTTGAAGCAAGTGCTGGAGAAGACAGGAGGCAAGGCGCTCATCAGCGACCCGCAGATCTACGTGTACCACGACGCGAAGGGTGAGCTGCAGATGATCATGTCCTCGCACGTGGACGACCTCAAGGGCGGCGGCGAGGACTACCTGCGGGAGAAGGTACTGAGCATGATCGAGAGCGAGTTTGGGAAGCTGAAGCGCCAGTACGACTGCTTTGAGTGCATTGGCATCATGCACGAGCAGGACCCTGTGACCAAGGCCATCTGGACGCACCAGCAGCACTACGTTCAGCAGCTGCGACCGCTCCAGGAGGATCAGTACGTGATGGAGAACGAAGATGGCCAGGTGAGCGTGGAGAGCCACGCGGCATATATGTCGCTGCTCGGAGGCATTGCATGGATGACGCAGACGATGGCGCCCATTGCAGTGTATGTCAGTTACCTCCAGCGACAGGCCAAGAAGCCGGCGGTCGGAGACATCAGGAAGATCAACCAGCTGCTGAAGTGGATCATGGTGAACGCCAAGCAGCTCGGAGTTCGGTTCATCGAGTTGGACATGACCCGAGTGCGGCTGGCCGTCGTCAGCGACTCAGCTTTCCACGCCATGGAGTTCGAAGGCTTGGCGATCCGAGGCTGTGTGATCATGTTGCTGGAGGCTGACGACGAGGTGCTTCAAACTGGAACGACGTATAGGATCGTGATGCTTGACTGGTACAGTCGCAAGCAGAACAACGTGGTCAGGTCCACCTACGCCGCGGAGCTCATGGCGTTGTTGGACGCGCTCGGGACCGGCACTCTCATGAATGTGGCGATGACCGAGATCAGTGAAGGAGTATGCACGGCGAACCAGATGCGAGTGCGGCAGGAGGCTGGCGACCTGGTGTTGAAGATGATTGCTGCCATTGACGCGAAGGCAGTGTTCGACGCCATCTCCGCCGACACCGTCAAGGTCACCACGGACAAGCGGATGTTCGTGCCGACGCTCGCAGCACGTGAGCAGATAGACCGCCGGCAGCTGGCACAGCTGAGCTGGATCGACACCTTGGACATGCTGGCGGACGGGCTGACGAAAGGCGAGCTCGACCGGACAGCACTCGTGAAGCTGGGTTTCAGCAACGAGTGGCACCTGAGCGGGCTGCAGCCAGTGGCCTTCTCGGCGCGCAGCGTGCTGGAGGGCCGCGCAGAGCGCTCGAATTCCCGACCCGAGTGAAAGGGTGCCAGGGAGAGCGGGAGTGAGCATAGCAGCGTGCCTGCGCCCGCCGCCGCCTGTGCCCGCCGCAGCCTTTGGCTTAGAGAAGGCGGCGCGCCCGCCGCCGAACTGTCGACAGAGATTGAGGCGAGACCAGTCAAAGTCCAGCACACCTCAGCAGGGCAATGGTGACGATCATTCCTCGTGTGCGTGCTGCCCGGCCGTTCGGCCACAAGGAGGAGGAGAGCTCCAGAGGTCTTTCGACTGGAAGGAGGGGGAAGGAAGGAGCAAGGGAGGAGGACGGAGCAGAGCGGGAGGGCAAGAGGAGGGACGAGGGCCGCCGATGTGTCAGCTGGCCCTCCCCCGCGCTTCCTCCGGGACCGCCCCCATCCCTCCTTCCATATCGACTGGAGCATTCTACGCATTCTTTGTAGACCCGACGGGGAAATCGAGTTTGGAGTACAGTAGGGGCTCGACCACAAGAGACCTTCCACACGAGACCCAACCCTGAGACCCCAGGACCTCCATCGAGTTTCGGCGTGGGAACGTCACGCCTTCCACAGCGAGACCATCGAAATGCGAGAAACCCGGGGCATCCTGGAGGCAAGAGGGGTGCTTCTTGGCATGGGTCCCCACTGTATACCAAACAGGAAGATCTAGTTTGGAGCAAACAAGTGGCACGCGCGCCCTGGCTCTTGCTCCAAGAAGCTGCGAGGGACAGGAGGCTCTCGCCTCCCTCCTCCGGGAGCTTCCTTCCGTGGCCGGGGGGGAGGGGGCGGACGACGAGCTCGACGAACGCACGACGAGCGAAAAGAGAGAGGTCCGAGCTCTAGAACACAGCTGTGCGAGAGAAGACGTTCTGCATTCGGTCCCCTGCTCGCGGGAGGGCGCGCGGAGGGCGCGCGCGGGCGCGCGCCATGGGGTCCGGCGGATACGCGCCCGGCCAGGCTCCCCGGTTCGCGGCGCTGGTCGCGGCGGCGACGCGCTGCTCGAGGACGGCGACCCTGGGGGCGGGAGTGCCAGGCGGGGGCGTATCCACATCCTCCGCCTGGGGAAACTAGGAGGCAACTACTGGCAGAGTGTCGTCGGAAAAAGTAGGGAAGATTAGGCCCCATTTGGGAGCTGTTACGCCGGAGTGAGCCTCGGACTAAGCAGAATGAAGCCAGATTAAGCGGGGTGAAGCGGGATTAAGCCGGATTAAGCGGGATTAAGCTGGATTAAGTGGGATTTCGGACTAGGGCAAAATCAGAATTTGACCTCCCAGGAGTTGCATCCGAAGGAAAGGAGGGACAGGGCAAGATCCAGACCCCCTCGGGTCATGAACAATCCACGACGGAGGGTGATTGACTCTTTGCTACCTTGGGCCGCTGGGCCCCAGGGACCGTACGACGTCGGGGGTCTGGAGATGCTGGCGCTATATTGCGCCTTCGGCTTCGCTGCGCTCTCTTGGCATGGCTCTCTACATGCAGGGCCGGTTCCACCACGCATCCTGGGAGAAGGAGCTGGTCGTCCTCCTCTCGGCGTGTTCTTTATGTCTTTGGCAAGGACCTGCTGGTCGCCGTCTTCGGCTACCTCGTTCGCTTGGTTCCTCTGGGGCGACCACTGTCATCATTGACTATTTCGACCCAGGCACACAAGATGACAACAGCAATACCTGGCCAGAGGAGACAAGCAAGAGGACATGGGGAAACCAATCATTAGCTATCGATGCCGATACTCCCCGGACCTCTCCCAAAAAGTGTGTTCTGACCAGCACTTCGAGGCGAATCCGGCCGTGGCGACGAGGGCCTCCAAGGAGGCCCAACAAGGGGCAAACGAGGGCGGGGTAGAGCGATGTGGGTGCCTCCTCCCCCCCCAGAACAGGCGAGGGAGAAGCGGGGCTGGCAGGAGGCGTCGGGAGGAGAGACAGGGCACCCGCGGCACCCACGCGAGGGGCCACACACAGCCACTGCGCCCAGCGGGGGCCAGCCCGCACCATGTCATGGCGTGCCCGGCAGGCAGCGGACTCGACGGGAGGGCTAGTGGGGCAAACCAGGCCACGAGGCGGCGACGGGGCGGCGACGGCGACTACATGACCGCCAGACCGACACACCAGCCCCACTCCCTCCTTAGACCAGGGAGAGAGATGTCCCGAGGTGCAAGCAGGCACTGTTCTGGGTGAGTCCTGCCGCTTCCGGGGCCCACCATTGGGCGCACCAAGAGGCATCGATACCGCCACTCCCCTGACCCCTCTGGGGGTGCGTTCTGACCAGAATCTCGGGGCGAATACAGCGGTGACGACGAGGGCCGCCCAGGAGGCCGAGCAGAAGGGAGAACCAGGCAAGGGAAAAGCATCAATGAAGAGAGAAAAGCAGCAATACGCGTCGTGTCGTTGTCGTGGTCGTCGTGGTTGTCGTCCTCGTTGTCTTCGTCGACGTCGTCGTCGTCGTGTCGTCGTCGTGGTCGTCGTGGTTGTCGTCCTCGTCGTCGTCGTCGTGAAGAGAGAAAAGCAGCAATACGCACGAGGCGCCCCGGCCATCATGTGTCCTGTGCCCTGGCACGGCGTGTGCGCCCTTCGGGCCGCGCAGGGCCTGCACAGCCGGACTCGACTGGAGAGGACAGGCGAGAGGACACAAAAGACCTCTCCGGGGGCCACGTTGCCACAGGAATGTGGGGGGCATGGGTCGCGAGACGCAGGACACAAGGGTGCCCTTGATTTGGCAGGGTCGATCTGCTAATCCGGGCCGACTGCACACCATCCTGGGGCCCGGGACGGCCCCGGCCGGGTTCGGGCGTGGTGCGCAGGTGGCGTCTGCAAAGACGGGGGAGGAAGAGCACCCAAATCGGCGGCGAGCGAGGGGGAAGTGAGAAGGAGAAGGCCTTCCCAGAAGGCGGCGGGGCTTCTCAGAAGCCCCTCGCGCATTCTGAGGAGCTTCCAGTGTCTTCGGGGCAAGCCTGGGAAACTTCTCGAAGGCCGGGGGGACGTTCAAGCCTTCTGAGAAGGCCCGCGCCTTCTCGCTTCCCCCCAGGGCTCGCCGCCGAACCTACAGGACCGCAGCGGCCGCAGCAGAAACAGAAATTACCACCTGGTGGATTAAAAAGTCCGGATCGGCCCAGGGCCGTTTGCATCGTCGCTCTCCGATCGGACCTGGATCGTAGACCCTGGATGGGTCTGGGCTCCCGATTTTGGACATGGCCTCCGAGATGACTCCGAAAGCGGGCAGCGCGCCGAACACTGGCACTGCACAGCAGACCATGGAGCACTGACAGAGAAAATTCTGTTTAGAATCGCGAGCACCAAAAGAAGCAGACACGCTTTGCATGAGATCTTCCAAGCCACGACTCGATTTCCAGCCAGCATCAACCGGACCAGAATTTCTGTGAGGAAATCTTGAGCGAAATCGCAAATTTCCGGTCGTCTGGGAAGCGACCGGAAAGTTTTTTCGGGGACATATTAGGCGGAATGCGAATTGCCAGTCGTCGCCCCATTTGGCGATTATAATATTAAAAGGGGGTGAGGCATGGACCTGAAATCTGCGATGGCGGTCTCTGGAACATTGAACTGGGGCCCCGCGGCCTAACGGGGCCCGTCCACGCTGAGTTTCCGCGACCTCTGCGGTCTGGACTTTTTAATCGGGGGGGTTGTAGTCTGAAGGAGGGTTGTCACTCTTACAGGAAAGCTGCCTTTATAACGACTGCCACGAGCCATTTGTGCCCCCTCTCCTCGTTTTCGGCCGTGCCCTGTTATGAGGGGCCGCTGCCCTGACGGAGAGGTCAGCAATAAGCTTTCAGTAAGACGGCGGTAGACTGCGATCTGGCCGCCGAGAAGCGCAGGAATCCATCGACTCTTGACTCGGGAATGCGCCGAAAGAACACGGAGACGCTGGTCGAAGTACAGACGCGGAGGTGGTCCATGGCGCACTGGGCACCGCAGTGCATCAAGCTTTCTCTTCGGCACTGCCGCCGCGGACCACCACATCCGCAATCGCCACCACTGCCAGGACATCACCATCACATCCCACCACCGCTACCTGGACCCGCAAAAATGACGGCCGCGACGCCCTCTCGCGAACCGAAAACGGCATACTCCTTCATCGACGTGTCAGGGTAGGAGGTCTATCCACCCCCGACACATCCGCAGACGCCACCGCTGCCACCACATCACCATCACATCCCACCACCGCTACCAACACTGTCGCATCCATACAAGCACGGCTCGCAGCACGGGCACCGAAAACACAGCCACCACCGCCACTGCTGCAGCGCTGCCGCACCCGAGACAGGCACTCTGTAGGGTGCAGCGGGGGAGGAGGAGAACAAGGTAGAGAGGAGCAGGGAGCAGAAAGCAGCAAGGTAGAGAGCAGGGAACAAGGTAGAGAGCAAGGTAGAAAGGAGCAGGAGCGGAAAGAACGAGATGATCAAGATGAGCAAGCAGACATCTTGCGGAGGGAGGCAAGCGCTAGAGAAGATACACCACCAAGCCGCTCGATAAGGCACCGAGAAGGCCGCTCGGACAACGCGCACAATGCTAGCATTCTTGCACCGCCGCGGCCGTCGCCAGCACTCCACGGAGCCAACTCTGGCGCGACCGTACTGGTGAAAGACAACTGATGGATGTTTTGTCTCTCGTCTGCGACATGCCCATCCGCAACTGCATGGGAGACCACAGCGCCGACTGCGCAGCTCGGCACGCCGTCGTCAGCTTCTGAAGCACGGCGCCAGCCCACTTGCAGACTGACGCACTTGATCTCCGCCACGTCGTAGAGGCACCTTAGTCGGACAACTCCCCAAGCAGACAGAAACTCACGCTTCCTCGACCGCGCTGTACACTGGCGCC